GTGAAATGTGACCAGTTTCGACAAGTTGTTTATTCAAAAGAGACCACTCCACGCAGACACAAAGCATCACAAGGTCATTTACCTTTGGCAACACATTCCAAAATCATGACAGGAAAGAGCCCACGATGTGAAACAGCGTGCAGTATGAAACACAAGGAGCAAGCCAACAGAAGTGAGACAAGTAATGTCACTGATACATTTGATCCAGTCTCTCGAGCCATGGACGAAAATCCGATAAGACATAATGTGGTGCCCGAAAGTCGAAATTTGGAGTCTTTGACTCCCATCAGTGCAATCAAGCTGTCCTTGACGCAGACACTAGACAAAGACATTTTAAAACTGCACACATCAAATAGTAGAGCACAGATGTTACACTCAAACTCATATGGCCACCAAGAACGTCAAAAAGAGGAAGCTGCTTTTGCGGTAAAAACTGAATTTCCTGAGAAAGTATATTCCACGAACAAATATAGCTTGCAGTATGAGCCACTTCAGGATGTCCGGAACAGCAGCTGGTCGACGAATTCCATCATCCCGTTGACGCAGGAACCAACACAGGATGGAAACCTGAGGCTACGAAGATCAGATAAACCTTCTGGCACGTTTAACGGCTCAATGTCAAACCCAGTGCATGCTGGAGCTCTACCAGTTGATGGTACAAGACATCTCAAACACGTGATTGCCTCAAGTATGTTGTCTTCAACGCCAAGCGACACCAGCCGTCAGTCAACGAGACCAGACGACAGCGCTGGAACTCAACCTTCACACGACGTTTGTAAACCTCCACTAACGGTAAACAGTTACTGTCCACAACTGTGGCTGTTAGGTTCGAAAGAGCACAGACTAACCACAGCCACGGCTGACAGCGTCTACCCAGCTGTCAGCGATGCCAGTTATGTCACCTGGTTGTCATCCAGCGACAGAAGTCAGAGCGGCTCTTTGAACCCCAGCCTGCAGGAGATAAATACAGGTGGTCATCAGAATGTTGACGAGTTAATCGCAAGCCATGCTACAGTTCCAGGAAACGGAGCGGCAACTGAGGACAAACAACAAAATAGCCGGCCTGGTCAGAACCTGCCGCCAAACATGGGTCTGCCTTACATAAACTGTGATCAACTGCCAACAAGAATAGACAGCTGCTCCAACAAAGCCAAGTCTAGAAACCTGATGCAACATAATCTCCAACCCGAGGGACCAGAGCCAGTTGTGATTTATCCATTACCGTCTTTGCTGGAGGAGCTAGCAATTTGGGAACGAACGGTTTCCGGAGTTGTGACCAACACCGAACCTTGCCTGATGCCGGTGGAGCATAGAGATGTTGCACACTCCGTCATCGATAAACCAGTGAACAGACCTAGTGACAGTGGAAGCAGATCATGGAGATGTGATGTTCCCTGTTCCGAATTCTGTTGTCAGGACTTAGAGTTAGGATGTCAGGCCAAACACAATGACGACATCGTACTTAAACTGACATCAGAGATTGGCTTCAGCGATCATAACAAAGCAGGTTCTGATGGTAGTATTGCTCCGGGAAGGAAAGGTGCACCTCAGTTAAGCATTGGCAATGTTGACAACTCTGTGGGGCTTTCAAACTTCTACCAATCAAAAGCTGGTGACCAGGTGTCCCAAGAGAAACGCCAATGCTGCAGCAAGGACAGTTCTGAGTTCATCTCCGTCTCTGAAGAAGTCTCTGACGTTTTCTTTGACGCCCTCGACAGTCTCCCCGTGGCGTCCCGTCCAGGGCCCAACTGTCACCACGGTGAAGATTCGACCACATCAAGCAGAGACCGGAAGCGTGCGGTCAAGTTTGTGGAGACATCCGCAAGGGAGACACCTGGTGTTAACTTGAGTATCAATAAGTCGAGAGACAAAATCTCTGGGCGAGAGTGGAAGGACAACAACAACATTAGCGGTGACAGAAAACACGGCAGCTTGACAAGACAGAAGACCCGCCAACAAAACATCGCCTTCAGGTTTGCAGTTCCCGGATCGATTGACCAAACCATGGATACAGCGCAAAGATCAGTCACTAATATCGCAGACGGCAAAAGACTCCCTAAACTGACGCAACCAAACGAAGGGACAGATCTAGCAACAAACGTGCCAGGAGACACACAAGGAAAGAGAGCGAAGGCCAGGTTGTCTTTAAGTGGACAAAGAGATCAGGGTATGCGGAATTTGATTGATAAACGTCGTTTTGGCAGTAATAACATCACACCCGGTCCTGTCGGTGTTCAGGGGACCGAGTGTGTTCAGCAGCCGGCCGTGACTTCACAAAAAGACAGTTGCCCTGCCAACGAACAGCATTCAGTAGCAGAGGAATTCTTCAGCATTACAGAATAGCAACAACTGGTTTTGTCTCAGGACAAAATCTGGTTCAAGTTGAATTATCATGTCAGCCTAGAAGTACACTAAATACAGCAGAAGGTTCGAGCTGTGTGACCGCGCCAGGCTCTTCGTCTGAGGACAGTGATCTTGTGTCTGCTACAAGTCGGGGACTGTGGTCTGGTGTCTGCTACAAGTCGAGGACTGTGATCTTGTGTCTGCTACAAGTCGGGGACTGTAGTCTTGTGTCTGCTACAAGTCGGGGACTGTAGTCTTGTGTCTGCTACAAGTCGAGGACTGTGATCTTGTGCCTGCTACAAGTCGAGGACTGTGATCTTGTGTCTGCTACAAGTCGAGGACATTGATCTTGTGTCTGCTACAAGTCGAGGACTGTGATCTTGTGTCTGCTACAAGTCGAGGACTGTGATCTTGTGTCTGCTACAAGTCGAGGACTGTGATCTTGTGTCTGCTACAAGTCGAGGACATTGATCTTGTGTCTGCTACATGTTTGCGGCAACAAGTATCTGCAATTCTGGTGTGGGACCGTTAGATTTAGCAGGGTTGCCTGATGCATTTACTTCTCGTGTTTCCAGATGTTGCTGGGACTGACACATTTCATTTGTTTTATTAATTTTGAAACCAGTGAAGGACATTTTCTGTGACTTCCACTGGCCCAAGAACAGATCTGTTGTGATCCATCAGAAGTGATTTTGGAATCTCAGTTATCCAACCAACCAGACAACAACCAACCAACCAACCAGTCAACCAACCAGCCAACCAACCAGCCATCCAACCAGCCAACCAAACAAAGAACCAACCAACCAAACAAACAAACAACCAACCAACCAGCCAACAACCAACCAACCAACCAGTCAACCAACCAGCCAATCAACCAGCCATCCAACCAGCCAACCAAACAAAGAACCAACCAACCAAACAAACAAACAACCAACCAACCAGCCAACAACTACCCAGCCAACCAACCAACCAGTCAACCAACCAGCCAACCAACCAACCAACCAGCCAACCAAACAACCAACCAACCAACCAGCCAGTCAGCCAACCAACCAGCCAACCAACCAACCAACCAACCAGCCAACCAGTCATCCAACCAACCAGCCAACCAACCCACCAACCAACCAGCCAACCAGCATGCCAGCCAACCAATTAGCCAGCCAACCAGCCAACCAACTAATCAGCCAACCAGCTATCCAACCTACCAACCAGCCAACTAACCAACCAGCCAGCCATCCAACCAATCAACTAACCAGCCACCCAACTAAACAACCAGCCAGCAAGCCAGCCAGCCAGCCAACTAACCAACCAACTAACCAACCAACCTGCCAACCAACCAACCAGCCAGCCAGCCAACTAACGAACGAATGAACGAACAAACTTTACTTTCAAAGGTTCACAAATTAGGCACGCAGGCAAGTCTTACATTCGGCCCTTCCAAACTCCCATCTTTTACACAGCAGTTGTATTTCATCAACAAAGCACCAGCCAGCCAGCCAACTAACCAATCAATTAACCAGCTAACCAGCCAACCAACCAGCCAGCCAACTAACTAACCAACAAACTAACCAGCCAACTAGCCAGCTAGCAAACCAACAGGCTAACCAGTTAACCATCCAACCAATCAACCAACCAGCCAATTGTCTGTCTGTCTGTTTGCCTGACAACACTGAAATATGTGTGTGTATGTAGTTCTTTTATTCCCTTGTGTTGAGTTATGACATATTAAGGTTATTGAAGACAGAAGATAATTAGGTGGCATAATATAAGTTCGGTGGAACTCCAATATTCGTCATGAATCATTTCCTTAAAAGGGTGGGGTGTAAATAATAAAACAGACCAACAGCAAACGAAATTTCTAGATAGGAATTAAGTAAAAAGTGGTTTAACCTGTTCCCAGTTACGAAATTCACATATTTATTCTTTAACAGCCCCCTACCCCCTTTTTGCCCCTTTTCCCATCTCAGACACACACAAAATTCACTCGGTAATCTATCTCAGAAATTATTGCAAATACATTTTTATTATAGATTAACCACTGTATTTATTAATGCTGTATCATTATGACAGAGGTTTGCTCGTTCTGTTGACGTCAGTAAACTGTATGCCTACAGAAATACTAACTACAGTTTTGTTTTCTTTTTAGATGACTAAAACAACGGCTAATGTTAGGAAGGTGTGTTGCCTTTCATGATTAAATAATTTAATGTCACTTCTGGTGATTGATGTCCTGATGTTCGATAAATATTAAATAGAAAGTATTCAACATAATTAATGGCACACTTTCAATCTGGTCTCGAAACTGAGCCAATTGACGATTAACGGACTCCTCGCCGGCCACGTCGGAGCAGGGACACATATGGACTTTCACCACCTCCACCCCCCCTCCCCCACATCCTTTTCCTCCCCAAACAAAACAAAAAATTAATATGGAAAAAGCCCAGACTATATTGAAAACCCCCCCCCCCCCCCCCCCCCCCCCCCCCCCCAAAAAAAAAAAAACGAATATTAGAATTCCACCGATATTAAAACTAGACCCCGCTGATAAATACATTTGATGACTTCCATTGGCAGCGAATACTGAACTCGAACCTCTGCCAACTGTGGCCTGTAGCTATCTTCAGGGGCATTTCATTGTGTTATCACAGCAGGGGCGTAGGTTATTTGGCCATACAGAAAGTATCCCTGGGCAAGGGGTCCCCGAAGCAGCACTGCTGCACGGCTGGTTGGAAGAATTTCTTGCCGCAGCACTGGGTCGACGGGTCTTTCAGAATGATGTTACCTTCGTCGCAGCAAGTATGGCTTCGTGGATTGTACATGTGTTTACCGCAACACTGCAAGAACAGAACACGACACCTTATAAACTATGATCTCATCATAAAAGCATCTCACTCTATACATTATTTAATTATCCATCTACATAGAAAACAGTCTTGTCTTCGAACTTTTATTATCTCCCCACCCACACCCTACGGCACTTTGCACTGTCTCCCTCACCACCTGACATTATCTCCCCACCCACACCCTACGGCACTTCGCACTGCCTTCCTCACCACCTGACATCATCTCCCTACCCACACCCTACGGAACTTTGCACTGTCTCCCTCACCACCTGACATTATCTCCCCACCCACACCCTACGGCACTTCGCACTGCCTTCCTCACCACCTGACATCATCTCCCTACCCACACCCTACGGAACTTTGCACTGTTTCCCTCACCACCTGACATTATCTCCCCCACACCATACCTCACTTCGCACTGCCTTCCTCACCACCTGAAAATATCTCCCCACCCACATCCTACGGCACTTTGCACTGTCTCCCTCACCACCTGACATTATCTCCCCACCCACACCCTACGGCACTTCGCACTGCCTTCCTCACCACCTGACATTATCTCCCCACCCACACCCTACCGCACTTTGCACTGTTTCCCTCACCACCTGACATTATCTCCCCACCCACACCCTACGGCACTTCGCACTGCCTTCCTCACCACCTGACATCATCTCCCTACCCACACCCTACGGAACTTTGCACTGTTTCCCTCACCACCTGACATTATCTCCCCCACACCATACCTCACTTCGCACTGCCTTCCTCACCACCTGAAAATATCTCCCCACCCACATCCTACGGCACTTTGCACTGTCTCCCTCACCACCTGACATTATCTCCCCACCCACACCCTACGGCACTTCGCACTGCCTTCCTCACCACCTGACATTATCTCCCTACCCACACCCTACCGCACTTTGCACTGTTTCCCTCACCACTTGACATTATCTCCCCACCCACACCCTACGGCACTTCGAACTGCCTTCCTCACCACCTGACATTATCTCCCTACCCACACCCTACCGCACTTTGCACTGTCTCCCTCACCATCACTCCATCTGACATTATCTCCCCAGCCACAACCTACCGCACTTCGCAGTTTTCCTCACCACCTGACATTATCTCCCCCACACCATACCTCACTTCGCACTGCCTTCCTCACCACCTGACAATATCTCCCCACCCACATCCTACGGCACTTTGCACTGTCTCCCTCACCACCTGACATTATCTCCCCACCCACACCCTACGGCACTTCGCACTGCCTTCCTCACCACCTGACATTATCTCCCTACCCACACCCTACCGCACTTTGCACTGTTTCCCTCACCACTTGACATTATCTCCCCACCCACACCCTACGACACCTCGCACTGCCTTCCTCACCACCTGACATTATCTCCCTACCCACACCCTACCGCACTTTGCACTGTTTCCCTCACCACTTGACATTATCTCCCCACCCACACCCTACGGCACTTCGCACTGCCTTCCTCACCACCTGACATTATCTCCCTACCCACACCCTACCGCACTTTGCACTGTCTCCCTCACCATCACTCCATCTGACATTATCTCCCCAGCCACAACCTATCGCACTTCGCAGTCTCCCTCACCACCTGACATTATCTCCCCCACACCATACCTCACTTCGCACTGCCTTCCTCACCACCTGACAATATCTCCCCACCCACATCCTACGGCACTTTGCACTGTCTCCCTCACCACCTGACATTATCTCCCCAACCACACCCTACGGCACTTCGCACTGCCTTCCTCACCACCTGACATTATCTCCCTACCCACACCCTACCGCACTTTGCACTGTTTCCCTTACCACTTGACATTATCTCCCCACCCACACCCTACGACACCTCGCACTGCCTTCCTCACCACCTGACATTATCTCCCTACCCACACCCTACCGCACTTTGCACTGTCTCCCTCACCATCACTCCATCTGACATTATCTCCCCAGCCACAACCTACCGCACTTCGCAGTATCCCTCACCACATGACATTATCTCCCTACTCACCTTCAACCATCTCCCTCCATCAACTTCCACCATCTCTATCCTCACTTTACATAACTGCACATCTTATCTATTACCAACTGCCTCCTCAAGGTCCTCCCGATCTTTCACAAACTCCCTCCACAACGTCCTCTCAATCTGTCACCAACTCCCTCCTCAAAGTCCTCCCAATCTGTTACCAACTTCCTCCACAACGTCCTCTCAATCTGTTACCAACTCCCTCCACAACGTCCTCCCAATCTGTTACCAACTCCCTCCACAACGTCCTCTCAATCTGTTACCAAATCCCTCCACAACGTCCTCTCAATCTGTTACCAACTCCCTCCACAACGTCCTCTCAATCTGTTACCAAATCCTTCCACAACGTCCTCTCAATCTGTTACCAACTCCCTCCACAACGTCCTCTCAATCTGTTACCAACTCCCTCCAAAACGTCCTCTCAATCTGTTACCAACTCCCTCCACAACGTCCTCTCAATCTGTTACCAACTCCTTCCACAACGTCCTCTCAATCTGTTACCAACTCCCTCCACAACGTCCTCTCAATCTGTTACCAACTCCCTCCACAACGTCCTCTCAATCTGTTACCAACTCCCTCCACAACGTCCTCTCAATCTGTTACCAACTCCCTCCACAACGTCCTCTCAATCTGTTACCAACTCCCTCCACAACGTCCTCTCAATCTGTTACCAACTCCTTCCACAACGTCCTCTCAATCTGTTACCAACTCCTTCCACAACGTCCTCTCAATCTGTTACCAACTCCCTCCACAACGTCCTCTCAATCTGTTACCAAATCCTTCCACAACGTCCTCTCAATCTGTTACCAACTCCTTCCACAACGTCCTCTCAATCTGTTACCAACTCCTTCCACAACGTCCTCTCAATCTGTTACCAACTCCTTCCACAACGTCCTCTCAATCTGTTACCAACTCCTTCCACAACGTCCTCTCAATCTGTTACCAACTCCTTCCACAACGTCCTCTCAATCTGTTACCAACTCCTTCCACAACGTCCTCTCAATCTGTTACCAACTCCTTCCACAACGTCCTCTCAATCTGTTACCAACTCCCTCCACAACGTCCTCCCAATCTGTTACCAACTCCCTCCACAACGTCCTCCCAATCTGTTACCAACTCCCTCCTCAAAGACCTCCCAATCTGTTACCAACTCCCTCCACAACGTCCTCCCAATCTGTTACCAACTCCCTCCTCAAAGACCTCTCAATCTGTTACCAACTCCCTCCTCAAAGACCTCTCAATCTGTTACCAACTCCCTCCTCAAAGTCCTCCCGATCTGTCACTAACTTCTTCCTCACTATCGTGTACCTCCTTCCCCAGTGTCCACCATCCCCCCCCCCCCCGATCTTTCAGCATCTTCCAAATCGTATCATCTTCTTTTTCTTCTCTTCCACCTTGTACCTCATCGAAGTGTCGGGGGAGATGTAATGTTCGTTGATGAGCTCTGTCAAGAGCACTATTAAGACTGATGTTCATTTCTGTAAGACTATTCTTAATGCCATAACTCCATATTTTCCGAGGTCTTCCACTCGCTCTATACCCCTTCTAACGTTTTAGTATGGCTCGCTATGGCGGATAGTAACAGGGCATTCTTGTTAGGTGTCCAAACCACTTCATTTGTTGTTCTTTGATGACCTGTAAGACTGGCTTTATTCCAAGCATTCGTCTGATTTCATGATTTCGTATTCTGTCTTTCCTTGAAACTCCTGCAGCTCTACTAAGGCATTTCATCTCTGTTGTCACAATTTTACGTTCATTGGAGGATGTAAGTGTCCACGTTTTGGCATTGATAGCATAGTGATGGCCAAAAAATAGTTCAGATAAGATTGACTTTAGTACTCCGAGGTATCTGCTTTTGTGTCAACAGGGGAGATAGTTGACCCATTAGCATTGGCACATCTGGAGCTAATTTCTCAGTCCAGTTTTCCTTCGGATGTAAAAATTGCTACCAAATACTTAAATTCCTCTGTTTGTCTCAGGGTGTTGTTTTTTAATTTAATTTCTAAATTGTCTTTATGTCTTCCTATCATCATTGTCTCTGTCTTCCTAGTGTTCATATTATATTCCTCCCCTTTGTTACTAATTTGATTTAGGTGGTTCTGTAGGCATTCCGTATTTTCTGCTATGAATACCTGGTCTTCGGCGAAGAGTAATTCTGTAATATCTTCTTCATGATTAAAGTTCGTTTCGCTACATATGGTATTCATGTATGTTATAAAAAGAAGCGGCGATAGTACACAGCTCTGACGCACACCAGAGTTTACTATAAAAGTTCTTGACAACCCCTGCCTTCGATCTTATGCAGCATTTACTACGTGTGTACAGGCTTTTGCAAATATTAATGAGATGATTGCTGATTCCTTTTTTCCCCATACATTCCCACAACATATTCCTGTCGACTCTATCGAAGGCTTTTTCTTGGTCTATGAATGTCAACAAACATGTCTTATCATGTTCTATTGCCCTCTCTGATAGCTGTCTCAATGTATAAATGGCATCTGTGCAACTTTTGTTTCGTCTAATCACACTTCTTTTAAAGATACATAGATGTTTCGTCCTTTTAAGGACGAAATTGTTTGCTATTTGAAGCCCCACCCTGGCTTTTGCCAGGGGCCGTAATATAACCAGGCCATAAATATGGCCAATTGTCTGAACGCGGTTTCTGGGACCTCTCCACGGCGATCCTCATCCACTTGGTGGTACATAGTGTCATCGGGTGTTTATCGCTTGTGTGATGTCCTGTGGGGTAGAAAGTCAGTCAATCAGTCTTCTGTTTCGTTGAAAGCCCATCTGTGCTTCTGAAAGTTGATACTCTATCAATGGTCTTAGCCTTCTTTGGATGATCTTAGAATACATTTTCCCAGTGTGACTGAGAAGTGATTTTCCTCAGTAATTAGTTAATTCTCTCTTACTTCCTTTATTTTTTAACAGCGGGCCAATGACAGCAGTCTGCCAATCTGATGATGTTTCTTGATTTCCCCATGCCACCTGAAATATTCGCTGTAACCACATTGCTCCGGTTTCTCCTGCTGCCTTGATGGCTTCAGCTGGTAGATCACCAATACCTGTCGCCTTTAGTCTAGGGGCGGTTCGAATGACATGTTTTACTTCATCCATTAATATATATGGTGCTAGTTCCTCTGCCGTTAGTTCCGATTTATTTTTATGTTCTTCACTGCTTTTATCTGTTTTATTGCAGCTAAGTAATGCTTCAAAGTAACTACTCCACCTTGCTAAAATTTGGTAGGTTCTATTAAAGGTTGGTAAACTTCATCATTTATAATTTCTGTTGGGTTGTATTTTCATTCCTGTTTCTCACGCCTTTGATTTTTTTTTTTTTTTTTGGTAGTAGTTTTTCACTGCTGTTCTTTTTTCTTCAGCCAGCTTGCTTCCAAACTTTTCCCATGAATCTCATTTTGCTTGTCTGATAGTTCTATTTACTTCTCTTTTAATTATCCTGTATCGTCAACCGTCACTTCTTGTCACTCCTGTATACTAGTGACATACAATATATTATAAGACATTATACTGGTTAGCATACCCACCCAACCCAACACAATCCCCCCCCCCCCCAGAGAGAGAGTGAGAGAGAGAGGGAGAGAGAGAGGGAGAGAGAGAGAGGAGAGAGAGAGAGAAAGAGAGGAGAGAGAGGGAGAGAGAGAGGAGAGAGAGAGAAAGAGAGAGAGAGAAAGAGAGGAGAGAGAGAGAAAGAGAGAAAGAGAAAGAGAGGAGAGAGAGAAAGAGAGGAGAGAGAGGAGTGAGAGAGAAAGAGAGAGAGAAAGAGAGGAGAGAGAGGAGAGAGAGAGAGAGAGAAAGAGAGAGAGAGAAAGAGAAAGAGAGAGAGAGAGAAACGGAGAAGCCAGGACACTCACGTCCATGTGCATGTTGGAAGGAGTTCGGGGCCTCAGCGCCTCGGCACAACACATGGTAGTGGCGGGGTTGTAGGCCGTCTTCCTGCAGCACCTCAGTGTCCCTGACGGGTTCCTGCCAAAGGAGAAACACATGCAAGTGTGTAAGTGTGTAAGTGTGTAAGTATGTAGTTATGTATATATGTATCCATGCATACATGCAAGTGTGTAAGTATGTTGTTATGTATATATGTATCCATGCATACATGTAAGTGTGTAAGTATGTAGTTATGTATATATGTATCCGTGCATGCATGTATGTGTGTGTAAGTGAGTGAGTGGGCGTGTATATGTGGGTGTGTGTATGCTCGCGCGAGTTTTTTCCATGCATTTTACAACCCATGCTTTTGTGTTCTTTCTTGATATTCATAATATGCATATTATCATATGAACTCTCTGTCACACTATCTCTGTCAACTCTCTGTTACATTCTGTGTGCACATTCTGTAACACACTCTCTGTCACACTCTCTTACACCCTCTCTGTCACACTTTCTGTCACACTCTCTGTGCACACTCTCTGTCACACACTCTGTCACACTCTATTACGCTCTCTGTCACACTCTCTCACACCCTCAAACTCTCTGTTAGACTTTCTGACACACACTTTCACACTCTCTATCACACTCTCTGTCACACCCTCTCTCTCTCTCTCTGTCACACTCTCAGTCAAAATCTGTCACACTCTCTGTCATACTCTCTGTCACACTCTATCACATTCTCTCACACTCTCTGTTTCACTCTATGTCACACTATCTCACACTCTCTGTCACACTATCTCATACCCTATCACACACTCTGTGTCATACTTTCTGTCACATTCTTTGTCACACTCATTGTCACACTTTCTCACTCTCTCTGTCACACTCTCTGTCACACAAACTCTCTGTCACACACTCTCTCTGTCACACTTTCTCTGTCACACTCTCTGTCACACTCTCTCTTATAATCTCTCACTCTCTCACACTCTTACTCTCTCACACTCTCTTACTCTCTCAGACACTCTCTCACACTCTCTTGCTATCTCACACTTTGTCACTTGCTCACACTCTCACTCTGTCACACTGTTTCTCTCACTCTCTCACTCTCTCTCACTCTCTCACTCTCCCGTGTGTATTTGTATGTTCAAATTTTTGATAATGTGTGTCTGTTCGAGTATTTGTGCGTCTGTGGGTGTGTTAGTATGTGTTTGTGTCTGTCTCTGTGCGTCAGTGTGTGTGTGTGTGTGTGTGCCATTATGTGTCTGTAGGTGTGTATGGCTGCATGTGTATATGTGTCTGTCTGTGGCTGTGCGTGGCTTTGTGTGTATCTGTGTAAGTCTCTATCGGTGTGTCTATTATTTTTTGTCTGCGTGTCTCTGCTTGTGTCGGGTTATGCCTCTGTGTGCGTATGTCTGACTGTGCGTGTCTGTGTGTGTATATCTGTGTGTGTATATCTGTGTATGTGTGGGTGTTGCGTATGTCAATGTGTGTGTCTGTTTCCCTGCCTGCGTGTTTGTATGTGTCCCCGTGTGTGTGCCCGTGACTGCATGTGTGTGTGTCTGTATGTGTCTGAATTGTATGCGTGTGTGTTTTAGAGCGTGTGTATGTATGTATGTATGTATGTATGTATGTATGTATGTATGTATGTATGTATGTATGTATGTATGTATATGTATGTATGTATGTATGTATGTATGTATGTATGTATGCATGCATGCATGCATGCATGCATGCATGCATGCATGCATGCATGCATGCATGCATGCATGCATGTATGTATGTATGTATGTATGTATGTATGTATGTATGTATGTATGTATGTATGTATGGTATGTATGTATGTATGTATGTATGTATGTATGTATGTATGTATGTATGTATGTATGTATGTATGTATGTATGTATGTATGTATGTATGTATGTATGTATGTATGTATGTATGTATGTATGTATGTATGTATGTATGTATGTATGTATGTATGTATGTATGTATGTATGTATGTATGTATGTATGTATGTATGTATGTATGTATGTATGTATGTATGTATGTATGTATGTATGTATGTATGTATGTATGTATGTATGTATGTATGTATGTATGTATGTATGTATGTATGTATGTATGTATGTATGTATGTATGTATGTATGTATGTATGTATGTATGTATGTATGTATGTATGTATGTATGTATGTATGTATGTATGTATGTATGTATGTATGTATGTATGTATGTATGTATGTATGTATGTATGTATGTATGTATGTATGTATGTATGTATGTATGTATGTATGTATGTATGTATGTATGTATGTATGTATGTATGTATGTATGTATGTATGTATGTATGTATGTATGTATGTATGTATGTATGTATGTATGTATGTATGTATGTATGTATGTATGTATGTATGTATGTATGTATGTATGTATGTATGTATGTATGTATGTATGTATGTATGTATGTATGTATGTATGTATGTATGTATGTATGTATGTATGTATGTATGTATGTGCGTATATATGTGTGTGTGTGTGCATGTTCGTATGTATGTGGATGTATGTGTGTACTTAGTGCCTATATGTTTGTGTGTAAGTGAGTCATTGGGCTTGTGTGTGTATGTGGGTGTGTGTGTTCGCGCGTGAGCGTGTGTACATATTTTACCACCCATGCTTTTGTTTTTGACTTCATATATATAATATACATATTACTACATGAATATAACATGCTTCATGAATATAACTGCTGTGTGAAAGATGGAAGTTTGGAAGGGCCGAATGTAAGACAGGCCTGCGTGCCTAATTTGTAACCCTTTGAAAATAAAGTTCGTTCGTTCGTTCTCATTCTCTCTTACACGCTCTGTCTCTACAAGTTCATCGTGTCCCAGTTAATTACAGTGCAGAAAAAATGACTTTGATTGAATCAAACTCACAGTCCAGCAAAACTGACTTTGACTGGATAAAACTCACAGTCCAGCAAAACGGACTTTGATTGGATAAAACTCACAGTCCAGCAAAACGTACTTTGACTGGATAAAACTCACAGTCCAGCAAAACGGACTTTGACTGGATAAAACTCACAGTCCAGCAAAACCGACTTTGACTGTATAAAACTCACAGTCCAGCAAAACGGACTTTGATTGGATAAAACTCACAGTCCAGCAAAACGGACTTTGATTGGATATAACTCACAGTCCAGAAAAACGGACCTTGATTGGATAAAACTCACAGTCCAGCAAAACGGATTTTGATTGGATAAAACTCACAGTCCAGCAAAAGGGACTTTGATTGGATAAAACTCACAGTCCAGCAAAACGGACTTTGATTGGATAAAACTCACAGTCCAGCAAAACGGACTTTGAATGGATATAACTCACAGTCCAGAAAAACGGACTTTGATTGGATAAAACTCACAGTCCAGCAAAACGGATTTTGATTGGATAAAACTCACAGTCCAGCAAAACGGACTTTGATTGGATAAAACTCACAGTCCAGCAAAACAGACTTTGATTAGATATAACTCACAGTCCCGCAAAACGGACCTTGATTTGATAAAGCTCACAGTCCAGAAAAAAGGACTCTGATTGGATCAAACTCACAGTCCAGCAAAACGGACTTTGATTGGATAAAACTCACAGTCCAGCAAAACAGACTTTGATTGGATATAGCTCACAGTCCAGCAAAACGGACTTTGATTAGATAAACTCACAGTCCAGCAAAACGGACTGATTGGATAAAACTCACAGTCCAGAGAAACAGACTTTGATTATAGGATATAACTCAGTCCAGCAAAACGGACTTTGATTGGATAAAACTCATAATCCAGCAAAACGGATTTTGATTGGATAAAACTCACAGTCTAGCAAAACGGACTTTGACTGGATAAAACTCACAGTCCAGCAAAAAGGAATTTGATTGGATATAACTCACAGTCCAGCAAAACGGACTTTGATTGGATATAACTCACAGTCCAGCAATACGGACTCTGATTCGATTAAACTCACAGTCCAGCAAAACGGACTTTGATCGGATAGAACTCACAGTCCAGCAAAACGGACTTTGATTGGATAAAACTCACAGTCTAGCAAAACGGACTTTGATTGGATAAAACTCACAGTCCAGCATAACGGACTTTGATTGGATATAACTCACAGTCCAGCAAAACTGACTTTGATTGGATATAACTCACAGTCCAGCAAAACGGACTCTGATTCGATTAAACTCACAGTCCAGCAAAACGGACTTTGATTGGATAAAACTCACAGTCCAGCAAAACGGACTTTGATTGGATAAAACTCACAGTCCAGCAAAACGGACTTTGATTGGATATAACTCACAGTCCAACAAAACGGACTTTGATTGGATATAACTCACAGTCCAGCAAAACGGACTCTGATTCGATTAAACTCACAGTCCAGCAAAATTGACTTTGATTGGATAAAACTCACAGTCCAGCAAAACGGACTTTGATTGGATAAAACTCACAGTCCAGAAAAACGGACTTTGATTGGATAAAACTCACAGTCCAGCAAAACAGACTTTGATTGGATAAAACTCACAGTCCAGCAAAACGGATTCTGATAAAATAAAACTCACTGGCAACCGTACGCTGAGAGTTGTAGTCGGGGAGCCGCCGTGCTTTAGTGGCTGGACGCTCGCCAACTGATCAGAAGGTCGTGGGTTCAAATCCTGACTGGGAGGGGACTTTTTAAAAAAATAAACTTGGTTCCTAGGTCGACCCAACCTTGAGTGAGTACTAGGCACAGTCCTGGGAAGTAAAGACGGCCGGCGAGATGATGTGTACATCACCCACCAAATGCCGTTTGGTCAATAAAATTTAGGTCTAACCCTATATACACATTACACCTGTAAGCGTGGAAAAGGGTACTTTACTTATATTTATTTATAGTAAACCTTATTTGTAGTAGAGCTGATTAGGCGTTAAATTACAACTCATGTTTAGTTTTAAATTTTATTTATATGTACAGTAAGGTTAATAAATATATGAAAACTATTGCAGACATCTTGTTTAACTTGCTACAGGATGTGAGCATGATTGATGACAGCGGATAGCCTAGCCTGTCCGACAGAAACTATGTCTTCCCCTGGTAATACAGCGGAGAGCCTCGCCTGTCCGACAGAAACTATGTCTTCCACTGGTAATCTTCATTAGGGACATTCTGTCAGACTCTAGACGTGGAATTTGTAAATGATGGCTCCCAACAGAAGACAGGAAATGGCAGTTTTGATTACACACTATAGAATTAATGTTGTCTCTATATGGGCCACAGTTCTGTGACATCACAGCCCCACCCGGGCTAGACTGCGTTACCAACAGAGGCCCTTTCATATCCTTATGGTTGAACGGCGTTTCCGGATCGTTTCCAAGCAAAAACTTATTGAACTTTATGTCACCGTGTCTTCATGGCCCAGTTTGCGAACTTCAGGGATCACTGCCACTCGCTGTGATCAAAGGGCTGGTGGGTTGCTGTGCCCTTGACTGGCCAGGGATCACTGCCACTCGCTGTGATCAAAGGGCTGGTGGGTTGCTGTGCCTTTGACTGGCCAGGGATCAACCAAAAAAAGGAAAGAGAAAAGGATACAGTTGGCTGTCTCAAAATAGATGCAGATAATTCTGGTGCAAGGACTCGTCAAGGTTCTCCTAAGCTCGAGTGAATAATTAGCGTCAAAAATGTCTGTGCCGGGGACTTGTGTGTCCGTCGGTGTTACACCAGGTAGAGTGTGCGGCGTTATCCAGGTAGCGCATACAGGGACAGACAGAAACTCAAAGGTGTAAAAAAGTGCATAAAGTCTAACTGTCAGAATCAGAACAGAAAAGGAGGGAGGGAAAGGGGGGGGGGAGGGAGGGGGGGGGGTTACAGACAAACCGCCAAACACTGTCTTCTGGGAGCAACTGGCAGATTTACACGACCGGAGATAAAAGCATCAATGAATCTTTGGGATGAATGCTGCTACTAAACTGAATCAATAAATATATGCTGCATTCAATTGAACAGTCTGTGACAGAATCTATGGATACATTCAGCATTCATTCGAACAATCTACCACGGAATCAGTCAGCCGGTCTGTTTATCAGTTTAAACTAGGGCTGTACCGAATAGTGATTTTCACTATTCGGCCGAATACGAATAGTGGGACCAACTATTTGGCCGAATACGAATATGAATACGAATAGTGTATCATCATCATCATGTGCCTTGCCGACTAGTGTTGGCGATTTTACCTCGCCACAATCTGCTATTTCCTGCAGCATGTATCAGTTCGTGTGCTGACACACCACCATGACATGCAACAAGACTGCCAAGAATCTTCTCTCGTTGTCATTTTCTATCTCTCCTTCCACAAATCTTTCCAGTGGTCACCACATGTTTCATTTTCACTCTTCTTATAAGATGGCTGAAAAATGATGACTGTCTCTTTCTGATGTCTGTGATTAGTTGTCTTCGGGCTCCCGCCTCTTTCAAAACCTAGTGGTTGCTTTTTTTAGGCTGTCAAATGTATTTTAAGCATTGTTCTGTAAAACCACATCTCTGAGGCCTCAAAAAATTTTTTGGCCTGGCTACCGATTGTCCAGGACTCATAGCCATATGTTAAAACTGGATGTATGTAGCAAGCAAGACAAAGATATATTGCATAAGATGTTCTTTTTTTTTTTTTTTTTTTTTTTTATAAAATGCAGTTTTCGCCTGTCCTATTTTGTTTTTTATTTTAGTAATGCATCTTTCATCTGATTTTATCCATGTGCCAAATTCACATTTAAATCATTGTTTGTTCAGGCGTTCGTTCGATGTAATTTAAATGCACCTACATATTCTCGTTCGCAATATCTTCAATTTGATTTGGGCAAAGACACCCCGAAAGAACGAAAAAATGCATGCTCCCCCCTCTCTCTCTCTCTCTCTCTCTCTCTCTCTCTCTCTCTCTCTCTCTCTCTCACACACACACACACACACAGAGAGATACACTTTCAAGTTTCTTCATGCCTTCTTTAACACAACAGTAGCGTTGCCTAAATCTTTCGTAGAGGGGAAAACTGCGACCCGGTTGCGTGGTAACAGCGCCTGCTGACTCTTCCGAGGCATTACAGCAGAGGTTCTAAAACTGGGTGCGTATGACAGGGGTGCCGCGGCGAAAATCAAGAAAAGTCGGCTATAAATTGTGACATTATTAATGAGAGAGTTATTTCAGTCCATCGCAGTGTATGCAGAAATCACTATTCGTATTCGGCCCGACCGCCACTATTCGGCCGAATACCGAATAGCTATTAGGTCCACTATTCGGCCCCGAAGCAAATACGAAGCAAATATTCACAGGACAGGAAAACTGTCAACAAGACGACAAGATGACACTTAGAGATACTCACAGGACAGGAAAACTGTCAACAAGACGAGAAGTTGACGCTTAGAGATACTCACTGGACGGGAAAACTGTCAACAAGACAAGTTGACACTTAGAGATACTCACAGGACGGGAAAACTGTCATCAAGGCAACAAGTTGACACTTAGAGATACTCACAGGACGGGAAAACTGTCATCAAGGCAACAAGTTGACACTTAGAGATACTCACAGGACAGGAAAACTGTCAATACGACAAGTTGACACTTAGAGATACTCACAGGACAGGAAAACTGTCAACAAGACAAGTTGACACTTAGAGATACTTACAGGACAGGAAAACTGTCAATAAGACAAGAAGTTGACACTTAGAGATACTCACGGGACGGGAAAACTGTCACAACAAATGTGAGTGGCCGGATTGTACAGCATGGTCCCGCAGCACATCAAGGGTGGCCCCGACATGGGTTTGGGCACAGGTATATCCCCACAGCACATCTGCGTCGTGATGTCGTACATACCTTTGTGGCAGCATCCCCATTGGGCTAGTCCTCCAGGTGGCAGTGGCTGTAGAGCAGGAAGTAGGTCAGCAGGTGATGGCATAGTGTTATTTACATGAAAGTGTGGGTAGGTTAGTGGACATAGCAACAGCTGGACATAACTACACCGCCTTACAACAGATACAGATAACAAAAGCATTACGTCAACGATATGTGTTATCCCTAAGTCTTTTCACCGTAAATAGAGAAAACATTTAAAACAAGTTGAAGAATCACCTAGACAGGAATATTATTTCAAGAACAAGCAACAATCTGAGACACGCGGGTGACACAGAGTTCTTACCAGACAGCGAGCAGGGGTTACAACAACTTGTTGATCAACTCAACATGAGTGCATGGTACGGTTTAGACATTAACTTTGGTTACCTGGCATACACACATTAGCAAGTGACCCTAGGCTGGTGCCCCCCCCCCCCCCCCCCCCGACAACTGTGGACCATGTGTTCAGATGCATCTAGTGCCCCCATATACATTTCGTTCAAAATATTCACAACAAAAAACCATAAAATAAGATGTTATGTATCGAAGTTACAGCTGTCCCAGCTGAGATAAAAAGACAAATTATAAATACAATCTTTATACCGACATTAGGTTATCAATGTCAGACTTGGACATTAACAAAAGAACGCGAGAAAAGACTAACCACCTGTGAAATGAGATGTTTGAGAATGGCTGCGAATAAAACCAGAAGAGATCGAGTGAGAAACGATGTGATTACAAGAACTATTGGAACCATACCCATCGTTAAATTTGTTGAGAAGCAAAGAATGAAATTGTTTGGTCACCTAATGAGAATGGAACCAACAATGCCAGCATCAAGAGCATACAACATGAAAATCGAAACACCAAGAGGCAGGGGAAGACCAAGAAGAAGATGGATTAAAGGAGTCACGGACAACTTGAGACTTCATAACATCACGGCATATGAAGCGACTGAGCGCGCCCTGGCTCGGTTGCCGATCATCTAATAGACTGCGACGCCTAGCGGCACAAGCAGATTTTGACAAAAGAAGAAGATGTATAGAAGTTAAACAAAACTGGCAGTCATATGGAAAATAGTCTAGGTTTTTTATTTATTTATGTTTGACACGTTTTCTTTTACTTCTGCTTGTAAACTGAATAGAGATAAGGTGCCAGCCAGCCAGCCTGGTTGCGTTGTTGTTCTGCTGGGACTGCTGATATACTCTAACTTAGAACATTAACGCTCAACTCCAGGGCTTCTTAAAATGTCTCTGGTGCCCCCTCCTTTTGTGATGCCCTAAGCAGGTGCTAATTGTACCTATGGGTAATGCGGCCCTAGTAGCTGGTGATATTATTACATAGAAGTATTTCTAGATCACCACCTCATCAGTGTATCTGAAAGTGTGTCGCAGTTCATAGATAATAAAAGAGTAGCATCATGTGTGAACACATCTTTGAGACCTCCGGGCCCATTGTTGACTGCTTACATGGAGAATGCAGTCACAACACAACATACAATAGTTATGTTGAGAATGCCACCACAACACAACATTAAATAGTTACGTTCAGAATGCCGTCACAACACAACATTCTATAACTCACGTTGAGAATGCCGTCACAACACAGACTTCCTGGATTGAAGCCAGAACATTCCGCTCGACCTGCCATGGGCCTGAATGAGTTGGCACAGATTGACATATGTCAGCAAAATAATCGAGATCAAAGCCAGAGCTATCACAAATCAGTTCTTACACCAAACATACAAGGTCAGATCAAAGCCAGAGCTATCACAAATCAGGTCTTACACCATACATACAAGGTCAGATCAAAGCCAGAGCTATCACAAATCAGGTCTTACACCATACATACAAGGTCAGATCAAAACCAGAGCTATCACAAATCAGTTCTTACACCATACATACAAGGTCAGATCAAAACCAGAGCTATCACAAATCAGGTTTACACCATACATACAAGGTCAGATCAAAACCAGAGCTATCACAAATCAGTTCTTACACCAAACATACAAGGTCAGATCAAAGCCAGAGCTTTCAAATATCAATTCTTGCACCAATTAAACAAGGTCAAATAAAAGCCAGAGCTATCACTTATCAATTCTTTGTCTTATTATACAAGGTCAGATCAAAGCCAGAGCTATCAAAGATCAATTCGTGCACCAAATATACAAGGTCAGATAAAAGCCATAGCTATCACATATCAGTTCTTACACCAAACATACAAGGTCAGATCAAAGCCAGAGCTATCAAAGATCAATTCTTGCACCAATTATACGAGGTCAGATAAAAGCCAGAGCTATCACATATCAGTTCTTACACTAAATATAAAAGGTCATCTACGATAAGAGTCATGCTTGGTTGCTAAAGTCGATATTTATGTTCATGAGCACAAGCTCGTGCCATATCCCTGTATTGTCATTCCTCTCAATGCACGCAAGGCAGGCTTGTCTCAGTACACGAACTCGTGCTCTCTGCTCACATCAAAGTGTACCTCATTTGTGCTAACCATTCATTGTTTCGTCCGGCGCTGCATTCCTAACCAGGACAAGTCATTCTGTATGTGCCTGAAGTCATTAAATTGTCTGACATTCATGGCGCAGGGCGACTGGTCGAACGGTTTAAAACGCTAGGCTCTCAGGCGGCAGACCCGGATTCAAATCCTCGGGGTGGCGCGGTGATTTATGTCACAGGCGTGAGGGGAAGTTAAGTCCAACATGATGTGTATAAGGAGATACTCCGTACGTCACTCGGGCGCCAGTCCTTTACTATCCTGGTTGTACGGAACCTCACGCAAGACCCCTACAGCACGTCCTCGTCGTGCGCCACGGATAATGTCTCAAATGAGCATTAACAGAGCTGTCAGGGGATCTCGGAGTTCGGCGGCCCCCAGAGGTGATGTGTCCTTGTGGCTCTCATCAGCCCGCCCCCAAACGCTTGGGTGAAAAATGTTATCAAAACTCATTAGGAACATGAGTAGGTTTGCCAAACGTACAGCCAAAATTACAACCCTTGGTTAAAAGACTGCGGAGTAAAGAGAACATTGTCCACTGCACATCCTCTGTTAACCCTCAGTGTCGTCGTCACCGCGCTGAGGTACACCACAACAGCAACCATCCATAGGCTGGCCATCCTTGTACATCCTCGGTTAACCCTCAGTGTCGTCGTCACCGCGCTGAGGTACACCACAACAGCAACCATCCATAGGCTGGCCATTCATGTACATCCTCGGTTAACCCTCAGTGTCGTCGTCACCGCGCTGAGGTACACCACAACAGCAACCATCCATCAGATGGCTAAGCCTAAATGTCCGACAAAACTAGATCATACGGATCAAAATCTGACCATCAAAATTTGTATTGAACTGAAAAAGACCGAATGTCCACACCCAAAGACCCCACTCGCCCGAGTGTTGGGACAAAACTGATAACGATATGCCTGATGCAGGACTTCCAGAGGGCGCAGCCCCTGTCGAGCGGGAGGCCTGAT